GCTCCATCCAATCCCTGATCTTCACTGCTACCAATGTCCTGACTGGGGACACAGTAAGGTAAACAATATTCTTGCCTCAAACAGTAGGAGTCCAGTTTTCGAATAGCAGCGCACATCCTTCTGTAGACACTAATTCTATTTGTTGACCTTCAGCCAGTGTTCTCCTTACATTTCTGGCTAAGCCTCACTCTGGCTGTCCTCTGTAGAACATGGCTGTCTCCTGCTTATAGATTCTGCATGTGAACATCAGGTCTTTCGCCCTGTAGTCAGGGAATCATGCCACAGAAGTCACTGCAGTAGCTAAGGACAGGAGCAGAAGTGTGGCTACAAAAGAGGTTTTTTCCCACCACAGTGAGAATGTGTCACCGTCCTGGGCTGCCCCTGAACTCACCTGGTCATAGCAGGTAGCACAGATGTGTTTTTCTTTTGAGGTGCTGGATATTTTCTAATCACCTTTCAAACTCATGGACTCAAAGCCGAGGAAACGCGATTTTGAGACAAGGCTTGAAAATTCTTATTCTCCGCATTGTTGTGTATATCCCAAAAATATTTGCATTGATAACCACAAGCTGTTTGTGCAAAGCCTACCCAGTTTGGAGTCGGGGACTGGGGAAAAGGATAAAAGCCATTTCATTTTTAAAAAGCCCAGTTCCTGGCAAAAACAGGAATCCCAAGTTTTTATTGGGAAAGCTAATCCAGGGTAAAGAAAGAAAGTCAGATCTGTTGTTCAGGAAAGACAGGGCCTGTGGTTTACTTTAAGATAGAATTATGTTATTCAGATTTTGAAACTTCTTGGATAAGTTGGCTCCTAGTTATTTCGTAAATAAAAATTAAGCTGAACAAGATGGTGCAGTACTCAGGGTAGAGCCTGAGGCAGGAGGATGACATGAGTTTGAGGCCACCTTGGTTGACACAGTACCAAGCTAGCCAAATCTACAAAGAAATATCAAATGAATAAATATTAAAATGTGAAAATTCTAGAACGTTCACTTGTCAGAGTTTTTGTATGACATTGGCTTTTATTTCTAGTAATGAACAAAGTGTTTATCACATACCCAATATGATTTCGCCAAACTATATTTGTTAACTTATTTTGTTCTTAGGATAGTATTGAGGTAGGCACTACTGTTATCTCTGTCTTTGGTAGGGGGAAACTGAGGAAGAGACAGATGAGAAACCTGCCTAGGATCTCATAGCAAGGGTTTGGCAGGGCAGGCTCTAATGCCAGCAGCCTTTTCTCATTGCTAAATTGAGTGTGGATGAGGGCCATGGTGATGATGTGAGCATAATGAGATGCGATGTATTGAATGCCATGTGATGGATCTATAAGCCTTCACATAGGTGTCCTCTACCCCAGCACTAGGCATAGGCTCTCTTATGCCTGATGTACAGTAAACTGAGCCTTCCTAAGGGAACGGGATTCATGCAAGTTCCTAGGAGACTGAGTCCTCACTGTAGGCTGGGCCCATGTGTCCTCAACCACCATACTGTACTCCCTCCACTCTGACAGTCTGTTAGTGATGCTTTGATTCTTGTGGAGTGTGTGCGTGTGTGCTGTACAAGGGATCTCCCTGTCTTCTCCTCCCCAGGACAGGGGGGTTTACAGACACGTTGTTCCTTGCCTTCATAGGATTGTTGGGGATCCAAACACAGATTGTAATGCTTCTGCTGCAGGCCCTTTACTGACTCAGCCATCTTCCCAGCCCCTTGTAGCTCTTACGTAGTCATGCCAAACATAATTAAAAGCCCCTCATTAAGTAATCCTTTGATGGGGTCAGAGGGCCAAAAATGACCTCCATAGCTCTACTCTTCCCTTCCCCTGCTGCTACCAATCCCAGCCCCACCCCATCCCTCTCACCCCTAAGAGGCACGAACAACCTCCATGCAGAGTTCCCTGAAACCTCCTGTGAGATACTACTGTTTCACGATGCCTTAAAGGCCATCCAGGAAAGACAGGGAGTCACTGCACACCACCCGTGTGTGAGGACAGATGCTGGGCATGAGCAGACTTAATGGGAGGCTCTCTTCAGACCCTGGGTGAGAACTTCCTGGTCCAGCTGAGATGTTTGAGTCACGTGGCCTTTCCCTTCTCCTCTGCCTGCAGATAGTGCACAAGCGTCCTTCCCACATGTCTCAGACATACAACACACGCCATTTCACACTGGCACATAACACCCTATGGTAGAAGTCTCAGACTCCCTCTGACCTGCCCCTCCCCCATGTTTTTCCCCCCATTAGGCAAATGGAAGGCCCCTTGCCACCTGTTAGCATTACGTCATCGGCTCCCCAGAACACAGTTGTACCCGAGGCCTTAAACAAAGTAGGTCTTCTTGTATTGTTTGCATTCAAAGAGCTGATATCATGCCAACTGATGTCATTGTGTGTCTTTGTGGGACTGCTATGGCAACTGGGCAGGTGGGGAGCCTCCGGCTGATGTCACTGGGAAAGGAGGGGCAGAGACTGAATTTTAAAAAGCTCTATGCCGGTTATTTTTTGTGTATGGGGGTGGAAGGGGGCTTGGCATGCTTTTATTTTGATTCTCTTTTCTAACTAGCTGCTTTTAAGACAAATTGCAGCTTGAGTACACTAAAGAAGAATGAGAATCCTCCTTTCCCACCTCCTAGCCTCTTCTTTTGAGTTTAGTTGCCCAGTTCTTTTTCTCAACTTATATGGAAAAAAATGCTGCAAGCGTCTTTTTCTTAAGGAAAAAGTGAATTAGGTTCCCCTAGCAGGATCAGCATGGCACTGTTTACTGAGGGTTTTGTGGAGCCCAGCAGATTTCCACACAGCTCCTTCCAGTGTCCTCTGTGGAGTTTGGGACAGTGGCAGTGGGCAGTTTTTACGCATTCACTGGTTATGTTTTTCTAGTATCTTGCATTTTTCTTTGTAGTTGGAAGGCTCCCTCTATGCTACTCACCCGGGTATAATGATTTCACAACAGATGATAACAGCAAGGGCAGAGTTTAATCACAGAAATGAAGCCAAATGAATTTAAAGCTCCTATGTGCTCTCCTAAAAACAGTTTTTTTTTCTTTACTTTTCTCCTTTTTGACATAGTCTGAGCACAGGATGACCCTCCTAAGTTGTCTGTGGATCATTACCATTTCCTACGGAAACTATGACTTGTCTTCTGTTCTACAGCTGGCTATGCCCATTGGTTGGGGACATGCTCTGCTCAGGTCCCCTGCTCTAGTGGTCAGAACTGAGATGGGGAGGAATGTGGTATCCATTCAGAAGCTGGTAGACAAATAGACGTGCTGCCCTTCTGTTAGCATAGTCATATATCTTATTCAGGTTTTGTGCTTTTGGCCTCATGCCTGGGGACTATCAAAACCTATGTGACTGGCAAGACATTACTTCTAGGAACTTCCAAGTGCCTTCCCCTTTCCCAGAAGGCCTCAAATGTCCCATCCTGCTCTCCTGGGATTTATGCTCATCTGGTGACTCCGTCTGGATGTCTCTTAATGTGTCTCATGCACCTTGTAGAATTTGAGCTTCCTAATCCTTCAGGCTTGTCCATGTGTAATTGCGTGTAACATAAGGAAGGGAAAGTTAAGTGACAAACTGTGATCCATAAATTTCCTTAATTCTTCTTTTTGTGTGTAGGCTTTAGGCTTTTTTCAAAACGTTTTGAATGAGCTGTTTCTCATTTAACATTAAATGGAAACATTTTCTTTGATTTTTATATTCTTTACAGAGTTATTCTTTTAATGGCTACATAATATTCCATGGATGAACATACTTATTAAGTTTTGTTTTGGTATTTACTTAGCCTTTTCTTTTTTTAACTTATTATTTATGTGTGTGTGTGTGTGTGTGTGTGTGTGTGTGTGTGTGTGTGTGTGTGTGTGTGTGTAAGTCAGAGGAGAATTTGTGGAGCCAGGTCTCTGCTCCCACCCTTAAGCAGATGGTGCTGTGTGAATATCATTGTATGTCTAATCACACCCCTGTGGCTGTGTGATTTCCATAAGTGACTGACTCTGTACTAACAGGAGACCATGTTTGCATGCTGAAAGTGGGGAAGCAGGTGCAGGGTAGACCTCTGAAGTGTTTCAGACTCAGCTCTTGGAGTTAGAGCAGAGCCTCAAGCTCAGGGTGTGCATTAGAAGATCCGTCAGAGGTCACCATTAGTGGGTTAGCGTACTCACAGTCCTCTAAAAGCTAAGTGCAGGAAATTGGGCCACTCTCAGATGCCACTCTCCTGGAAGTCAAGATCTACAGATGTCAAGGACCTGTGTGGAAAGTCCTGTAGATTCTGAGTCATTCTCTCAGGGGTAACTTACCTTGCCCCAGCTTACCTCTGCTCTTCCTACCTTTGGACAGCCATAGAAATAACAGGAATAGAAATAGCTTGTCCATGCAGAGTGGCCATGCAAGCCTGGGGGTGGAGGGTAGACTGGACACGTGACCTGTTTTTATCCCTGTCGTCATCTCAGACTCACATGCAGAGAGACACAGTATGTGCTTGTGGGGTTACTGAGGCACACATGAGCCTGTGCGACTCGGCAGGCAGGGCGCGGCCAGCATAGCCTGCTTTCCCACAGCACCTGCTTGTAACTGTTCCGCTGCATAAGGAGGGAACTTGGCTTTCTGTGGGGTGAGTTATAAGTGGTGCGGACACACGTGCACAATTCCAGGATACACGCAGAAGTTCTCTGTAGGACAGTATCATCCCCGCTGTTCTCAGCTCCCAAAGCACAAGGCTCTCTATAGGCCAGGGACCATATGTCTGTTAGAAGCAATTCAAATTTGCAGTTGATGAAATGACTGGGTGTTGTGTGGAACTTGTTCCCAGGCACCTTGGCCCAGTTTGTGCAATAAGGAGCACAAGCCCTCTGAAGCTGGCTCTGCGTGTCCAAATAGACTTCTGGTTTTTGTTTTTGTTTTAGAAATGTTAAACATGTACATAGCCACAATGACAGCCATCTCTATGGGGAAGCTGACATTTTCTGTGGGCTCTGTCATCTTATTTACACATCCTTTCTGCGTTTTCCTTCCAGGGGGACTCAGTAGTTTTAAACAGAACCATGAAAACCTCTGTGACAACTCCCTCCAGCTCCAAGAGTGCCGGGAGGTGGGGGGCGGCGCGTCTGCGGCCTCGAGCATGCTACCTCAGTCTGTCCCCACCACCCCTGACATCGAGAACGCAGAGCTGACGCCCATCCTGCCCTTCCTGTTCCTCGGCAATGAGCAAGATGCTCAGGACCTGGACACCATGCAGAGGCTCAACATCGGCTACGTCATCAACGTCACCACTCACCTCCCCCTGTACCACTATGAGAAAGGCCTCTTCAACTACAAGAGACTGCCAGCCACTGACAGCAACAAGCAGAATCTGCGGCAGTACTTTGAAGAGGCTTTTGAATTCATTGGTAATTATCTCCCAGGGTGCCGGGGGAGCTCTCCCTTCCCTCCAGCTCTGGGGTTGCTAAAAGGTCCAAGGTTTATTCCTCTGTTAGAGGAAAACAAACAAACAAACAAACAAACAAACACACTACCTAAACCGTAGCCTTTCTTTAAGTCTTGGAACTATCTGGATGGACATAAAAGAATAGTCGAATTAGTGAGCTTTCCATTTCCATGGCTGAACTACCTGAGAGGCTGCCCTGAAGGGAGGAATTCTCTTAGCTTATCATCTGAGAGGCTTCAGTCCTTGGCTCTGTTGAGTCTGGGCCTGTGCTGAGACAGAGCATGGCAGTGGGAGTGTATAATGAAGACTGCTGGATTCATGGTGACTAGGAGGGGAGGGACCAGGACAACATATTGCTTTCAGTGATACGCAGTGGGTGACCTACTTCCCAAGGCAAGGGTCCCCTTCTAAAGTTTTAAAGACCTTTGGAAGTGGTACCACCTGCTGGAGACCAAGCATTTGATACAAGTCTGTGGAGCCATTTCCTATTCAGACTAAAGAAATTATCACTCTTTATCCAACGTCTATTCAACCAGAAGTTCCTATGTATCCTCCAGGTTACCAAGAAGGGATGGTGGAGGGTTGGCAGTTAGATATTGTACGACCAGAAGAATGAAGGGGAACATGAGGAACTGGTCAGAGCTGGTCCTGCTGCCTAGTCCATGCAGCACCCCCCACCCCGCCCACTCTGAAGGAGGCTTCAGGTAGAGACTGTGACATGACCTCTAACTGCCCCTAAACCTCCGGACCACCTCGCTCAGCTTTCTTCATCCAGCACAGGGAAAGTGATTTCCATTCAGCACCATGAGTTCCAGTGTGCGTGGCCTCTTCACTGGAGGCCGAGGCAGAGGCAGCCTTTGTGAAAGGGTTGGTTCTGAAGAAACTTCTTCAGAAAGCAGCCCATGCTGTGCTGAGTCCCTTCACACATTGCATCTTTGCAGACAAGGGAAGGAAGAATTGTTTTCTTCCACCTGAGTGATCTCAGGTCATAAACGCTGAGTGACGAAGACTGATGTTAGTGCTCATGAAAAGGTACATATTCTCGTTGACGCTTTGTCTCAGGCTCAGGGAAACAAGAGAGATCAGGCCCCTGTAGGACCCCAAAAGAAAATTCTAGCAACACTAGGCTCTACCCTCAGAAGGAAGCCACCACCAGCTCGATCGATCGATGATGACCTTAACTTTTGTAGCTCTTGTAGCATTGTGTCGAGACTCAGAGGGTGACTAGGACAGTAGAAGCAGATGACAGATTCTCAACATTGTTTCCAAGGGATCCCAACTTTTATCAGCACAAAGAGGCAGCCCAGTGCTTCACATTATTGCCTCTGGTTGCCACTGGTCTCCGTCTCAAGAACACTCATGATTGTTGCTGTTTTGACAGAAAAAAATAGTCTCAAGTTTAGCAGCCACCAGGGTGATGGATTTCCTGGCAAGCTGGCAGTTCTGAACACGTGCTTGTCTGTTTCCCTTTCCAGTTTGTTCTTCAATGCTGGGCCCTACCATGGACACTCTGGAAGGATAGCCAGAGTGTTTTCTAAACTCAGAAGTGAAGTGACCTTCTCATGTCAGGAATTCTAGTGTCAAGAGGGAAACTGGGGGGTTGAGGGAAAGGCACAATGGGGAAAGTGTTGGCTGCATAAGAGTGAAGAGCTGCGTTTGAACCCCCAGAACCCAAGGCAAGTCAGGTGCAGGCGTACACATCTGTAACGCCTTCTCTCCTATAGCAAGATGGGAGGCGGACAGCCTCTAGACACTCACAGGAGAGCTAGCTTGGTGTCTGCAGCCTACAAGAAATCCCATCTCAAAGAAGGTGGTAGGCAAGGACCCACATTGACCTCCACCTGTGTGCTGTGGTATGCCTATACCTGTACACACACACACACACACACACACACACACACACACACACACACACACACAGAGAGAGAGAGAGGGGGGGGGGAGGGGGAGAAGGAGAGAGGAGAAAATGAGAATTAAAAAAATAAAAGCAAAGGGCCTAGCATCCCAGTGTTCTAGACTCCTAGCCAGGACTCCTTATCCAACACTCTGGGCCCATGTTTACCATGCCCTGTTAATTAGTTCCTAACACTGGGTAAAGATGCCCTGGATCCTTTATTCATAAAATCAGAGCTAAGCCTTGAATCGTAAATAAGAAATGCCTGTCACCAGAGAGACAAGGAAGTTCCTGGTCGATAGAGGCTGTTAAAAAGGAGAGTCCACCTGACTTAATTCCAGGTGGAGGAAGTTGGGAAATTGTTTTCCATTTAGCGAGCAGCCTGGGATGGGCTTGTTCTAAGATTACAGCCATGGTGCTCACATTCCTTCTGGATTATTCAGGCTTACCTGTTCTTTTAGAAGAAAACAAAACTAATAACAAGCAACATTTAGCCCACAGAGCAATTTGGGATCACGTGTTTGGGCTCAACTTCATTCTCCTTGCCCTCTGATTGGACACACTGAAATTTTATAGTATGGCTTCAGGGGGTTCACAGCATAATAACACTCACCCAAGTGCCTACGCAATGGCCAGGTTTAGGGTATAACAATGCCAGTTTAACCCCTGAATCAAATGACTTTGTTTCCACAGTTCCAGAGGCTGGTGAGCTGGTGTCCTTTGTGTTAGTTATCCAGGCAGGAAGACTGAGGTCCTGGGGGTCACTCAACTAGTGTGTTAGTGGAACAGGTGGTTAAAGCCGGGGTGCACCTTGATCTTTCTCTTACTACCATGTTTGATGTTCTTGGTTTGGGAGGCCATTTAGTGTGTGCCAAAGAGAAGTTGGCAAAGGGAGGTTGGGGTCTCTTGATACAAGCTTGTCTGTGGGTTGGTAAGAAAGAGATTTACATCCTGTTTGTCACTTAGTCTAGTAGTGAGCAGCCGGTGAAGATTTAAGCTAAGGGATAAATCTCTTTCCCCAGTTCTTGTCTACCTTATCACTGGCCTGCATTCCTCCAGCAAGCCTTCCTTGGTTTTAATCTAAAAGTGTCAAAAAATGTCCAGTACAAACAGGCAGCCAACGCTTTTAATATTAAACATGCCAGTTTCTGTCGCTCTTGGTTCTAAGCTACTTGGGACTCCTGCCTTCCAAATGGTTGCCATGTAGGAACAGTGTCTGTGAGGGTGAGGGGTTCAATGTGTGGGAGAGGGCCGGCCATGCAGTAGGTCAGTACTCTACAAGTCTAACTTTGACAACAGTTGGCGTCTCTGGTGAGAAGCTGAGTGTAGGAACTTTCTAGCTGAACTTTATTCCTTCTCTGCCATGGAGATTTAGTAAATCTTGTGCATTAAACGTTAGCTCTTATAGAGAACAATTTTCTATAGGATAAAGAAAGGTAGGGGTGTGTGTGTGTGTGTCTTGCATGTAGAAGATACATTGCTAATAACACTAGTTTTTCAGTCATATAATCGTATAGCCTAGAAAGTAGAATTAACATTGTTATCAGAAGAAGAATTGTATCATACACGAACATTTGTGTATGTAATATAATTTCCTTTTCCTCTCTCATCCTCTTCTTACTTTTCCTTTCCTTTTTATCAGTGGTATGATTTTAGAGAAAACAGAAAAGAGACAATATAGTTGAGAAAGAGAGGTCTGGTAACATTTATGGTGAGCTTAGTGGCTTGCTTGTCATGAGTGTGTCCGTGTGTCTTCCCCCATCTCCGGTGACATGTGATGTTCCCAAAGATGACTCCCTTTCTCTATCTTGTCTCTAAATGTAGAACTGTAGGGGGCTGGGAAGATGGCTCAGCTGGTAACGCACTTCTCACGCAAGCGTGAGGATGGGGGCTCAGATCACCAGAACCCACATAAAGGCCATGCAGCTGCAGCAGCCTGCCTGGAATCCCATGGCACAAGGGACTGAGATGGGGCACCCCAGAGCAAGCTGCCTATCTGGACCAGCAGAGATAGCGAACCCTGGGTTCACCAAGTGATGCTGTGTCATATACCATGGAGAGTGAACTGGAAGACTCATGATAGCAACCATGGCCTTCCACAGACACATGGGAACATGCACCCCCCACCCACCCACCCACACACCTCAAAAAAATGAGGGTCAATAAGATGGTTCAGTGGGTAAAAGGTGCTTGCTGCCAAGAGTGACAACCTGAGTTCAATCCCCACAAACTCATGTTGTGGAAAGAGAGAACGGACTCCTCCAGGTTGTCCTTTGACCTCCCCATGCACACTGTGGCATGTGTATCTCCCCCCAATTTTTTTTTTTAATAATTTAGTAAGATGCAGACTAGCAGCTCCTGCTTATAGCCAATTTCTGTAGCTTGTAGCCAACTCTGTAGCTTGTGACTTGAACATGTAGAATCCACTGGTGCATTCTGCTTCAAAGCCACCTGAGTCTATTCTTCCTGTGCAGAAGGAAACCCTGCCGCACCAGGCACGCGCTCACCTCCCTCTGCCCCCCCCCCCCACTCCCACTCCCTGTCTTCTCTGCCCCCTGACCGTCTGTCTCTCTGTCCCACAGAGGAAGCTCATCAGTGTGGAAAGGGCCTTCTCATCCACTGCCAGGCTGGCGTCTCCCGCTCCGCCACCATCGTTATCGCCTACCTGATGAAGCACACGCGGATGACCATGACTGACGCTTACAAATTCGTCAAAGGCAAACGACCAATTATCTCCCCGAACCTCAACTTCATGGGGCAGTTGCTGGAATTTGAGGAAGACCTGAACAATGGTGTGACACCACGGATCCTTACACCAAAGTTGATGGGCATGGAGACGGTTGTGTGACGGCAGGCAGCATGGAAGGGCCGTGGCTCCGTCAGGAGATGAACAGGCGTGAAGAGGGTTCTGGTTTTGTTTTTGTTTCTGTTTTTCTTTTTTCAGTTTTTTTTTTTTTTTTTTTAAAGTTGGGGAAATGTTTGTGAAAGGAAACAAACTTGTCTAGAGACTCTATTTTTAATAAGTGTGAGGAGACTATAACTTCCGATGCCACTGAGAACCACTTCTCTTTATCTGGTATTGCAAAGAGGTTAAAGAGGTCATTTTTTTTTTTTTTAAGCCAACAAATAAAAAGATTATGAAACTTGCTTCTCCCCAGTTTTCCTTGTTAGCTGTTGTAAAGTTTCTGACTAAGTTGTCTGTGCGGGCTCATAGACCGAAGATACCACACTTCAGTGACAAGGAAGCCAGAGGAAGTGGAAAAGACATCGCCTTTCGAAGACCTGGAGCCTACCTGGCCACCAAACGCCACCAAACCATGCCCTGTTGAGCTCACAGGTGTGAAGAGAAGGGGGCAGCCTCAGTGGTCGCAGATGACCTCATGCTCTGGAGAGACAGAGGGTATTGTTGATTGTGTGGGTTTCATGCTCTGGATAGTTTCCCCCTTTCTGTGGGTTTGAAAGAACTTTCTTTTCTTCTTCTTTTTTCTTTTTAATAGAAAGAAATTGGCCGTTGTTCCATGTGCCTTCGCTGGCACGTGTGCAATAAAAATGGTGTTTGGTGTGTGCGGGTGAGTTAGAGCTGGCACTTGAGTGACAGATCGAACCAGCTTGGAGATAGGAATTCAACAGTACCAGTGGCTTCCCCTCCTCCTGCTCTCCCTCTGTTTTTTTTTCTTCCTTCCTTCCTTCCTTTCTTTTTTTGTTTCTTTCCTCTTCCTTTTTTTGTTTCTCCTTTTTGATTTGAGTCTGGTTACAGTGCCATAAACCTTGTTACATATGTATATCAGAATGTAAAAAAACAAAAGACAAAACTTTATTTAAAAATATTTTTCGCAAAAAAAAAATTCTTGGTGTGTTTTTGATGGTGGTGTAAAGACTTATTTTCATTATATAAATGAAACTCGTTTGGGGATGTGTCGTTCTTTGCACGCACCCCTCTTTCATTTGGTTAGGATCAGGCTTCTCTTGCCTCTGGTATTGTACACACAACATAGTTAGAAATAAAGCATGGGTTTTTATCTGGGGAGATGGGGATGAGGGCGTAAGGCCGGGAGGATGCTCAGGGAGGCTGAGGATCCCAGGACCACATCCCTTTCCTCTCCCTCCCATCCTCTTCCACGGGACAGTGGACTTGGGGATTTTAAGGGGCTCCCATCAGACATGAAAGCAAAATCACTGCCGAACTAAGGATTTAGAATCTAGTCATCTCCCTGGTAGCTATATGTAAGTATGAGGGACAATCTGTTATTTATGGTTTTCCCAGTCCCACTGCCATTGACACTAGCTCACCTGACATTTTTAGGGACATTCACCCTATAGTACAAGTTGTAAAATGTGCTTTTCCCCAGTCCATAGAACTCGGCTCTTGATGTACACCTTGGTGGTAACAGTGCTGGGTATTCGACCCACAGACAGTTGGAAGCACGATGGGAGAGGAGTATAACCCCAGTGTTTTCCACATTTTGTTAGAGTGCATGTCTAGAGGGACTCAGACTCCAGGAAGATCAGCAGTACTCCAACGTCTGCTTGGTGCGAGTAAGCACTAAGAATTCCAGCATGGCTGGCTGGCTCTATGTGACTACATTTGACATAAATATTTTTGTGAACATTTGCTTACAAATGTTACACCAGAAATATTTTGACATTGATTTCTGTTTTCAAATAGCTTGTCTGCCAAGAGTCATTTAAATTTTTCTGTCATTAGAAAAGTGGAAGTTGAACATAACTGGAATTAACTGAGAGCTAGTGGGAATTATTTTGGTCTAATATAAAGTATGAAGTGGGCAAAAAGTAAATTTCTATTTAGTGTTTCTGTACTGTTAACAGTTTTTTGTTGTTGTTGTTGTTTATTTATTTTTGTTTTTTACTGTCAACCAGAGCATACTGAGAGTCCGCTCCTGATCCACAGTGACTTAGAAACAGTAGTGTGGCAGGCTCATTCCCTAAGTTTAAATGTTCAAGTTGTGATAGGGTAGAAAAATTTCCCTCTGTCTGTCTGTCTGTCTGTCTCTCTCTCTATCTCTTCCTCTGCTTTCTCTTTGCCTTTTTAAAAAATCATTTCTTCTGCAAAGGAAGGGAAAGAATCAATAGCCACGTGGACATGATTTGTGTGTTTGGAAGTTTAGGGGCTTAGGAGGTGGTCTGCCTCCTCGAGGCAGACAGGAATCCTGCCAGCCAGCATACCAAGAATTCTGAGAAGGACTCCGGTCTTTTCTCCTAATCTGCTCTGAGTCACTTAGCCTCCATTTCTTCATGAGGAATGTTAATCGCTTCACGAACACACTGGAGCAGCCCTGCCCTTGCTCTGGAGAGCAGCTTCCCCAGCATTCCAGGCCTCACTAGCTGCCTGGGACCTTCAGGATGGAGTTGGGAAATGATTGTGTCTTCTGAGAAAGCGGTCTCCATCCTCTTCGCGTGTCGTTCTCAGGGTCTGTGGTCCATGCTGAAAGGCTGATGATTTAATAGAATGACCCTGTACTATATCTAATGACGCAGAAAGGTTGACTAGGCCTCGTTACCTTGCCATGAACGGAGCAGCCCCAGATCCTCCCCCATGGATTTCAGTTGCTGAAAGGTGCTTTTCCAGTCAGCGAGTACCAATCAGGATAGACAGCTCAGTTCCCAGAGTGCTCCTGCTAGCTAACTTTGGGCTGAGGGAGGTAGGCAGCATGGAGAGTGAGGAAGGAAGCTGACAAGGTGTTTGCAAACCGGCATAGAGAAAAAAAAAAAGTTTGTAGGGCTCAGTGATCACATACTGGCAGCAAATGAGAGATGACCCCTGAAAAGCTAAAGAGACCAGGAACAGGAGAAAATGGGAAGGTAGAGCACTAATGTGGAATTAGGATCCAAATCATATTCCAAAAGTTGAAAGAGTTCCAATTTCTCTGGGTCTTCTGAGGGGCAAGCCTGGTAAGCCAAATGGCAGATCAAGCAGTCTTAACCTTCACCTGATTTGTGAACTGGAGCTTGGGCCTGAACTATATAGACGTACGTGATCATATTTTTAATCTTAAGTCTCAGATGTTCTATCTTCTGACCCATCATTTGTTGTAGGTGGATACTGGGACAGGGCACAGTAGAAAATGTAGAAGCATCAAAAGGATGAGTAATAAAATACTTAGGAGCCATAGCTTTACCCACCTGTAGAAGAGCTGCCCTTTGGAGGTGGGATGACAGCAATAGTGTCCTTGGTTCCTGATTTCTGTCTCTGTGGTTACTTTCATCAATGGTGTGAAATAATCAGGATTTGATCAAAAACAGAAACACTGGAAGACTCATGGCAGAGTATTGCTTCTCTCCGATGTGACCTGAAGTCTCTGTCAGTAATGCCATGAGAGAGAAAAACTGGACTTGAAATAGAGGGGTGCAAAGATGAAATTACAAAGGCAAGCTAGGATCCACATCAGCACTCCATCCACCTTGATGTGGGACGCCTGAAGGACCTAGCACCCTTTGCTCAATGTGTACACTTAGCGTATGACTTGAAGATGGTGAAGGAGGGGACCTGGAGAGAGCATAGGAGCTGAAATTATGGCCTCTGCTAAGTCCAGGGAAGTCACAGGGTCAAGGCAAATGCATGCTCACTGAGATTCTCCCAGGTGCCCCCTCTGCAGTGTGGTGACTACTTATCTTCGATTCTTTTCCAACTCGATGCATGTTTCTTCTAAGACTTCTTGACGCACTGTGACCCTGGCAGACACTGGCAAGGGAATTCCAGGAAAGGTAGTTCCTGTTGGGGCTGATCTTGTTGTCATAGTATTTATAAAGCTCCCTCTTTCATTGCTCATCGCATCCCTTGTCCTCAGCAAGAGCATCCTTCATCCTTTATCCTTGCCTTCCAAAGGGCCAAGACCTTGCCAACTGAGATGATTTTCCATTTATTGTGTTAGAGCAACAAAAGCAATTAATTACAAGGCACAGCAGTCCAAGAGACATTCCAGCATTCCAGATGTACTTCTACTAAACCTTATAGTCCACTTCCAGCCTGAGTTAGTGCAACAGTCACAATCATGTCAGTCAGGAGAGCAAATCTACTTTATTTTTGATTCTTTTAAAAAATACGTATTTCCTTTTTAATTGTGGTGTGTGTGTGTGTGTGTTGAGTATGTGCACGTAAGTGCAGGTATCTTCTGAGGTTAGAAGAGTGTATTGGATTCCATGGAGCTAGAGTTACAGGCAGGTATGAGCTGCCCAACATGGGTGTTGGTACCTGACCTTGGGACCTCTGTAAGATCAGCACGTGCTTGTAACAGATGAGCAATCTCTCCAGCCCTACTTTTGTTTTTTCTGTCTGTTTGCTTGCTTATTGTTTCTACATCTATCAAGGAATCGTTTTTTAAAATTTATTTTATTTAAATTCCTTTTTTTTCATTTATTTTACATACTGACCTAACTCACCCTCCCACTCCTCCTCCATCTCCATTCAGAAAGGGGCAGGCCTCCCATTGACTTGAACAAAGCATGGCACATCAAGTTGAGGCAGGATGGAGCTCCTCCCCTTGCATGAAGGCTGGGTGAGGTAATTCAGCATGGGGAACAGGTTCCCAAAAGCCGGCTAAGTGCCAGAGACAGGTCCAGATCTCACTGCTAGAAGCCTTACAAAAAGACCAAGCTACATAATTGTCACATGCATGCAGAGGGCCTAGGTCAGTTCCACGGAGGCTCCCTAACTGTTGGTCCAGAGACCATGAGCTTCCACCAGCTTAGGTTAGCTGTCTCTGTGGGTTCCCCCATCATGACTCTCTTGGCTCATACAATCCCTCCTCCCTTTCTTCAGCAAGACTCCTGGAGCCCAGTCCAGTGCTTGTCCAGTCCTACTTTTGATTCCAAATATAAGGTACCCAAGGTAGGCATCAATGTCAACTTCTAGCATAATGGATCCATATTGCATCTTCCAGTAGAAGTGTTTCTACCATAGGAAGGAAAACTTCTAAATTTAAGGCTAGAAAGAACAAGTTTTGTTCTTCAGTGACAGCAGCTAGAGAAGCTTGTTCTATTTCTATCCTTTGATTCCTGGATTTAGGAATCTTGGATAAAGGAGAAACAACATATACTGGTTGATGACTCAGACTTGACGGCATCTTACCAGACATTACTCTAGTCCTGTAAAATATTTCCATTCATTAGCATAGCAACAGATTTGTGAGAAGAACCGCTCTTCTTTCTGCTGCTTCAGAGTGCTAGACAACACGGTGGGACTTATGAATTCTGTGAGTAGGAACCTGTTTCCATGCACAATTCACCACCAAGTAAGTTCCTCAGTCAGAGGCAAAGCATGAAATATCATGGTGATGGGTAAGAATAATTCTCTAAGTGTCCAGTTGCTGTATTTGGCAAGCTATTGTAAGTAGGAAAGGCAAATCCATATAAAAAGTACGTTTCTATGGAGTAAAAAGATACTATTGCCTTCCAGGATAAACATGGTTTGGTCATCAGATAGCTGAGTAATTCCCCCGAGGGTGCTTTACTGGTTCAGGAAATCAGTGTTGGCTTTGTTTGGAGTTGGTTGGACACATATTAGTTGCTATAGTCAGACTAGACTTGGGTGAGTAGATGATCATGTGCCTGATTGCAAATTCGCACTCCATGTTGACCACCATGGCGACTTTGACCAGGAGCTCATTGATAGACAAGGGAGACTGAAGAGAGATACTCAGAATCCTCAGAATTGGTAAACTTGGTAAACTTGGTAAACTTGATCAGTCTTAAGATACTTCTGTCCCACTAGGGAAAGTTGATCCCTTTAATTTGTCCCTATGGTGATATTGTATTTGTGTAACCCAATAAAGTTTATCTGAGGATCAGAGGAAAAAGCCAGCCACTATATTAAACACAGAAGTCAGGCAGTGGTAGCACACGCCTTTAGTCCTATCATTCAGGAGGCAGGGATCTCTCTGGATCTCTGTG